CAAGTAGCAAATGCATTATAAACGTGCAGAAAAGAGGGACTATGTATCCTGTCACATGCCTGGAAATAGACATCTTTTGTAAGGTGGTTCTCCAGTCTCCTGTGTAAAAATTAAAAGTCAGCAGCCATAAAAACACTGTAGCTGCTGACTTTTCTTAAACAGCCATTAACCTGTCCAGGGATCCAGCGCTTTCCTCACCCAAGCCGATTTATTCACCGGGTCTTCAGTTCTTGGAGCTGATATCTTATCTGGGAGCAGCCAGCTGTGACTGCTTGCAGCTTCACAGCTGGCTGGCCACTGCACATGTGAGAGCCATGCTGCACTTTGTTAATGGTCCTGCAGCCTTCTGGGACCTGTGATATGACCCAGCAAGCTGAGGGCGGAGATGAAGAGGAGGAGATGAGAACTTCAGCTCGGATTGACTAGGTGATCCAAGCGGAAGTGGGAGCTGGTACCCATTAAAACCAGGTACCCGCTCCCCCCCCAAAAAAAAGTACATTACAAATATAACGGGGGGGGGGAGGAAGAGGAACAGCAGAACCTCTACTTTTGAGTGTAGTTCCACTTTAACTCTCTGTTTTCAAGGTTGAGCACAAAATTACGTTGACTATTTCCACACCATCTGGTTGAAAATGCTGGAAATAGTAATTGACCAACAAAGGACCCAGTGCCCCTAAAGTTCCGGGTAAATAAAAAGAAAGACTTTTTAATTAATTTGTTTGTTAATTCATAGAGAGCCCATTTACATGCAATGGTGGGTTGCAATGCCATTCATTTTGAATGGCACCCTAATGTGTATGTGTTGCAGGACACCATAATGCACGGCAATGCACCAAGATATACAGTGCTGCATTAGAAAATCGAATCCAATTTTTTGGATGATTTGGTGTGTTGGCAGCCCATTCAGTTCAGTAGGCTGCTTTAGCACAACACACGTTAATGCGTGACATAATGTGTTAACACACTTGCTCGGAAAGGAAATCTTTTCTCCAATTTTCTATGAAGAAGTTTTGTCATTAGCTGAAACTGCACTTTAAATTTTAGCTTTGCTCTGTGCACCAATCTATTAAATAAGCATGCAAGTGCTCCTCAATAATGTAATTTAAGAAATTATATTTGCATGTCATTTGGGTTTTGCCTTTTGAGCACTATTAGTATACATGGAGATTAACTACAATATGCTATAAAATTAATGGAATGGAATAGATAATAAAAAACAACAAACATTAAAAGTAAGTACATTTTATAGTAATAGCAAATAGACAAAGGAAGTTATACATATGCATAAGCAATGGTAAAGCAGTTTACAGTTATTGTCCAGTCCAGTAATTAAAAAATTGTGAGGTATGCAAGATCTTTATGTACAGTTTGATCTTGCCTTATAATATATATGTCTTGTTAAGAGTAGAGACGTGTGTTTAGGCAATTCTCAGCCACAAAAGCATTGTGTTTTTCCTTTTGTGTTGTGGCCTAGATACATGTGGTATCCCTTGCCGCCCCTCTAAGGAGTGATCTGTGGCAGATTTTAAGAAGTCAGTTAACAGGTGGCTCAGAGGCAGCGAAGGGATTTACTAAAACTGAAGCAGGAGATTCTGGTGCAGCTTGTTCAAATAGGCTTTGAATATAAAATCTAAAAGTTGATTTGTTACTATGCACAGTTGCCCCAAATTCTGTCTGCTCCAGTTTTAGTAAATCCCATCCAATATGTTACCTCTTCACCATTTGTTTTAACCCTAATAGGCCGAACTGCCACACTGCAAGTGTGTGTATTGCATTGCACTGCATTTCACGTGGTTGCAGCGCACGCCATTAACTTTACTGGTACTTCCTGCTCAATCCAACAGGTCATCACATTTTTACAGTGGAATGTGTACAGCCCCATGCGGCTGCATGGCTATGTTCAAGTGGGTTGTTGGGGGTGGTAAATCTGTGATTCAAACGCCTGCTTTTACCACCGACTGGTGCCATGTACAAACGAGCCTGCAAAATATGTGTTTCCATACTTTTATTCTTTGAGTATGAACTTTTTTTGCCTGCCTATGGCCTGTTATGTGCATTTGTTGATCTAGCTTGCAGTTATGTAATCATTACATGACACATCTGTCCGGCTGCAGGTCACTTAACAGTGCTATGTGTGTGTCATTCAGTGTAGGTGTCCTCCACTCATCCCTGCTTCTGCTGACTCCCTGGTCTTCCAACACTGTTCACATCTACAACCCTCTTTCAACACTGCTCCTTTGTGCACCCTTTACCACCCTCTTCCAACACTGCTCACCGCAGCACCCCAACAACTCTGTTCCCCAAGCTGCTCACCTCTGTGTCCCTTGCAACCTTCCTTCAACACTACTCATCCTTTGCCTTGCTTGGGGCAAAGCCAAATGACATAACTAATATCCACAGCCAGCCATCCAAGAAGGGAACATCAGCCTAACATTTGGACCTGCATTTATCTAAATGAATTTGGATGTTAGGTTGCTGAGTCTTAGAGACTGTGGAGAGAAGCTTTGTAAGTGATTTACTTTAGGGAACAGACTCAATAAGAGGAATATGTTCCAGACACATGGAGCCAGATTGGGTTTGACAGGGATGGTGGAGTTGCAAGTATCTAAACAGGTGTGAATTGGTAAGTCCATATTTCTCCTTAAGTCTTTCAACTAAAATAATGGAGTTTTCCTCTTTTATATACAACAAACACTTGATGCCTTTAGTACCAGAGCAGGATCCATATAATTTGAAAATGTGGCAAGAAGAGGGTTAAACCAAAGCAGGGTAAAAGGGGATCTCTGGTGGAGGGTGACTGGCACCTGTACGATGCACACATTTTAAGCCCTGAGCGTAGCTTTCATGGTTAAGTAAGTGGCATAGAGAATTTGTTCCTATATACTGTAGATAAGAGAAGACCTGAGATGGGCTGCCTTTAGCAGAATGACTGCGTTCATGTTGGCTAATATTAGATGATTATGGGTATGAGTTAGGAGTGTGCCTATAAAGTAATGTAGATAACAAGTAATCCGCATACATGGCTATCTTTTTGTCTAGGGCGGGGGTAGGCAACCTGTAGCTCTCTAGCTGTTGCGGAACTACATTTCCCATGAGGCATTGCAACATTACAAAACTGACAGTTAAAGCTATGACTTGCAGAGGCATGATGAAACTTGTAGTCCTGCAACAGCTGGAGAGCCGCAGGTTGCCTACCCCTGGTCTAGGGGAACCCACTATTATTCTAATGGTACTGAGGGATTTCTGCAATGCCATGGCAATGGGTTCCATCAGCAGCAGGAATAGCACTGGCAAAAGGGGGCATCCCTGTCTAGCCCCTTTCCTATCGGGAAGCAGGGGCAAACATCATTACCAATTTTTATTTGGGCTAGTATGCCCATGTACAGTATTTCAAAAAATTGTAAAAATGCTGCCCAACACTGGAAATTGGAAGCTTTTTCAATATCGAATGTTACCAACATCATGGTGTCCTGGCCATCATAAGGAAGTTGGAGATAGGTAAAGACTGTGTATATTAATGTCAGTTGATTTGTGTGGCATAAAGTCAGTTTAAACTGTACCAATTAGGGTTTATATTACTTTCATAAGTCTGGTTGCCAGAATTTTCATTAGAATGTTGATGTTTTGTTTATGATATGAATCTATACAATGTGCAGGGCAAGGGATCTATGCCTGGTTAGTAAAAAATAACTATACTATATGGGTACTATACATAGATGGGGCAACTTTGAGGATAGTCATATCTCCTGGGTGTATTGTTTATAGCATTTTAACCATTTGCCCTCCAGAGGATTTACCCCCCTTCCTGACCAGGCCATTTTTTGCGATACGGCGCTACGTTTCCTTTAAATGACAATTGCATGGTCATGCAACGCTGCACCCTAATTAAATTTATGTCCTTTTTTTCCCACAAATAGAGCTTTCTTTTGGTGGTATTTGATCACTTCTGCGGTTTTTATTTTTTGCGCTATAAACAAAAAAGACCGACAATTTAGAAAAAAAAACAGAATTTATAACATTTTGCTATAAAACACATCCAGTAAAAAAATGTACAAATCAAATTTCGTCATAAATTTAGGCCAAAATTTATTCTGCTGCATGCATGTCTTTGGTTTACATGAAAGTTATAGCATCTACAAATGGCAGTATATATACTGGAATATTGGATTTTTTTTATACTAGTAATGGCAGCGATCAGCGACTTATAGTGGGACTGCGGGACTGTGGCGGGCATTCTGACACTGGGTGGGAACTGACTAACTGCCACTGACATCCCAATGACACTAATACAGTGATCAGTGGAAATAAAAAGCACTGACACTGTACTAAAGATGTTCTTGTGTCCATCTTTTTTTTTGGTAAGACAGACTGTTACAAATGGAGAACGTTTAGCACTGTTGCTAGACACTGAGCAGTAAGAGGTTAACATCTTGGGCGATCAAAGGGTTAACGGTCGGCTGTGCTGTGTTTTACTGTATGTGCTGTGTATGTTTTACTATATAAAGATGCAGAGAAGTACACAGCAGCATGTTACTGCTGGCAGGAGAGACATAGGTCTCTCCCCTGTCAACGTCCCTCGGCGATCGCTGGGTGCCAGCGGGGAATCTCTGGCTGGGACCCAGTGATCAACATCTGTAGCCGCCAATGGTGGTGCGGGTAGGGAAGCACACGCACCCCCTACCCGGAAATGAAAAATCATATATATACTGTATATATATATATATATATATATATATACGTGATTTGGCGCAGCACTGTCACCCTGTAGCAGTAGTTCTGCATTAGGGCAGCGGGGAAGTGGTTAAAGAAGGATTAGGAAAATTCCACGACCTTTGGATCCCTCTGGTAGGCTAAGGACATCAGTTCAACTTAGCCTGTTTTCAACATCATCAGACCTGCCAAAAGCAGCTGGACTGTCCATTTTAGCCCAACAAAAAAAGTGTGTTGAAAATAGGTATCCTCCACTGTTGAAATGCAGGAGTCTGCCTCTCTGATGTGGCCTTTGATTTTGCCCAGGTCTGATAGCTGGTTGATCAATATGGACCATAGGTGTAGTTTTGCTTTTTTTAATGGCTGTGAGTATGATCATTGTGTTGTCTGTTCTGGCTGCTCAGAAAGTAAGTCTAGACTGTCTCCATGCAGGAGCGGACTGACCATTTGGAAACTCGGGCACTGCCTGAGGGCCCGGGGGCAGTAGGGGGCCCCATGAGATGCCCCTGGTACCTTTTTCATAGGCTTTTTTGAGTTTGGGCAAGGACACAGGGGCCCCATGATCCCCTATTGCCCAGGGGCCCCATGAGTTGTCAGTCCGCCCCTGTCTCCATGTCAGACAACACAGGAGCAATGAGTTACTTGTAGAGTAAGGTATGGCACAGAAGGAAGGAGTTTGGTTGGTATATATAGGATGGAAAGAGCTACACATACACACGTGTCTATTCCTCTTCACATCCACTCTTTTATGTTTTATTTTATGCAAATGTAATGAAAGAACTGCCTCATCTCTCATTCCTATCTTGTGGCCCACTAAAGTTGCTTACACAGTGAGCAGTGACTGTACAATATTTATGGCTGCTGTCTTTGAACTATCTAAATATAATAAAATACATACACTCTAATAAATAAATAATACACTTTAATTTGTATTTGATCATTATAAATGCATCTTCTTTTCCTACTAAACTGCAACCCATTTGATGAAGAATGATAATTTTCATTTCATGATAAAATCTCTCTCCTCCCTCCCTCTTGCAATGTGGCCAAATAAAGCTGTTTACATACTGTGCAGTGACTACAATATTTCTATCTAAAAAAGCCTTTTTTTCCAAGTTGACAAGTAGGCAACCTGGGGTCCTGCTGCTGCTTTATTTAAGCCAAGCAATACTCTAAAAGTAAAAGGAATGTATCACACATGAAAAATATGTTTCAGAAAACAGTTTTGCTGAGAACAATGTCTCTGAGAATTGTACTGTTCCATAGCACTACATCCAGCTTAAAGTGTTAATTCACTTTTACAGAAAAACTGTAAAGGTGAACTAACACTGGACCTTCTCTCCATATCCTCGGTCCCCACTGTACTTAGCTCCTGTGATCCAGAGCTGTTAGGACTCCCACAGCTGTTCTCCCTGTCTGGGGATTTCAAATCCCTGCAGCTCTCTCTTCACCATGTGACAGCACTGACCAATCAAAACCCATCTGGTCCACCCTGGCAGTGCAGGATGGAGAAAAGAGAAGGGCAGCAGGGATTTTGACTCTCCAAACCAGTGGAGTGACTACAGGAACCCTGCCAGCTCAGGATCACTGGAGGTAAGTACAGCAGGGTTGAAGGGATGGGGAGAGGATCCAGTCTTAGGTCACCTTTACAGTTTTTCTGTAAAGCTGAACTAACCCTTTAAAGGCATCCTGCTGTTGTCCTCAAAATCAATAACAGGATGACCCTATATGTAGAAAAAAAAACGTTTTTTTTGTATTGCTATTTGCTCCCCATGACAATGCCCCCCCCCCCCCATATCATTTGTTTGACAATCCCTTGCCTATTAGCATTGAAGTGTCAAGAACTTTCAAGATTTGACCGCATAGACTTCAATTGGGTTTGATTTAAAGAATGTAATTTTCAGACTTTATGATGGGTTTAACAAATGCTCCATGAATTGAACCCAGACACATTTGTTCATCTTTAGCCCTGTCTCCCTAAAGGTTTCAGTCTTCCTGCTGCATTTTCAACAATAATAAATAAAGGAAAATTCCACAAGGGATCCATGTAAGGTACTAAAATCCACTGATGAATCAATCCTTTGGTAATATCATAAGTGAGCTTACATTTTAAATTAAGAACTTAGCTGCTAAAATGTTGTGAGCCAGGAACTTTGTGGCAGCAGTATTTAAGTAGATGTAAATCCTAACTGAGTGACCTTTCATTTGCTAAACCCATAGAAATACAGCACCAGATCAAAACAGGATAAAAGAGTCCAAGATAATGTTAACTGTTGGTGAAAAAAAAAAATGATATAAAAACAACCAATGATTTTCGTGGGCAACACCACTCCCCCTTCATTAGGGCTCAACACAGTGTAAAATTTGGATGGATTCAAAGGAAACAGTGACTTTACAGATCTCAATACAGAATACAACTTGGATGGCCTCAGATGAAACAGTGACTTCACAGCAATTCTGCTCAATAACTGCTGTCGAACTGTTGCTCCATTTGGAGAGATCAATACTTATCATAGTATAGATCTGTGAAGTCACTCTTTCCTTGTAGTCTATTCAGGTTTTATCCCATGTTGAGCCCTGATGAAGCTGAAGTGGTGTTGCTCCTAAAATACAGTACATTGACTGTTTTTATATTACATTTTTATGAACAATTAAAATTATGTTGGACTCTTTTACCTGGTTTTGGTTTGTCATTCTTCCTCAATTGTCATGGTTTGAGCTTGTTTGCAGTTTTCCTTTTTCCTGACTACAAATTAACTTTTAATTCTTCCATCAGCTCATCCCGCACAGTTATTATCTTTGTACGTCTTGCTTCACCTTATTAGATCGTACGCTCTTGTGAGCAGGGTCCTCTTAACCCTCTTGTATTGTATTGTAACTGTACTGTCTCCCTTGTAAAGCATTGCGCAAAATGTTGCCACTATGTAAAATCTGTATTATAATAATAATAGTATTATACTGTAATGACTACACTTGCACCTTTAGTGCCTCTTTGAGTATGTTGTTCTGGATTTCATTTGCTAAAGCTCTGTGTATCAAACAATTACCTTGCTAAAATAAAATACTTGTTTCCATTTTTTCATCCTTTGTTGCATCTCAGTGTTGTTAATTTGTCGGTGTAATGTGTGTTAAATTGGCCACTTGAAGTCTTCACTGGGCACTCATGAGACTGGATGCAAGGGCAAAACTGGGAGAGAAGTAAAGACCATTATAGAAATCCATATAAATTGATGGCTGAGCATCACCAATTGGTAGATGAGGTATCCGTGAGGAAGGAATTGGACTCAGAGGAGGAACATTATCCCAAGTGGGGACCATACAGATCCACAAGTGCATTTAACTCGATTTCTGACATAAAGAGGCCATTTGCTCTGGAAAGCAATTTATTGAATACAAGGTGGTGGGATATTTAGGTGTCACGTTGTCTGAAGAGCCATCTGAGTGTGTGGATCAAGATTGTATTTACCACTTGGGACTATCATTGCTATATTTGGACTTTGGGACTGTTATTGCTAATTTTGCACTAACGGTATTTATATGGACTCCTATACACTATGATTTGTGTCACTCAATAATTATTGTTTTAATTTGCTCAGCATTTTGAATTTATATTTGTTACACAATTTGTATCATTTGGTGTGCCAGCTGCATTAAAGGCTCTCCAAGCTCAATTTCTTTTTTAGGTTTAATAAGCAAAGACCATTGTCACCCTTATTTACTATATATGCACTATATTGCCAAAAGTATTGGGAGGCCTGCCTTTACACGCACATGAACTTTATTGGCATCCCAGTCTTACTCCATAGGGTTCAATATAACAGCTTCAACTCTTCTGGGAAGGCTGTCCACAAAGTTTAGGAGTGTGTCTATGGAACTTCTGACCATTTGTGCAGAAGAGCATTTGTGAGGTCAGGCACTGATGTCGGATGAGAAGGCCTGTCTCACAGTCTCCACTCTAATTCATCCCAAGGTGTTCTATCAGGTTGAGGTCAGCACTCTGTGCAGGCCAGTCAAGTTCCTACACCCCAAACTCGCTCATCCATGTCTTTATGGACCTTGTCATGTTGGAACAGAAAGGGGCGATCCCCAAACTGTTCCCACAAAGTTGGGAGCATTAAATTGTCCGACATGTCTTGGTATGCTGACGCCTTAAGAGTTCCCTTCACTGGAACTAAGGGGCCAAGCCCAACCCCTGAAAAACAACCCCACACCATAGTTCCCCCCACCAAACTTTACATCTGGTACAATGCAGTCAGGCAAGTACCATTCTCTTGGCAACCCCCAAACCCAGACATGTCTATTGGATTGCCAGACAGAGAAGCATGATTCGTCACTCCAGAGAACATGTCTCCACTGCCCTAGAGTACAGTGCTGGTGTGCTTTATACCAATGAACCCTACGCTTTTCATTGCACTTCATGATGTAAGGCTTGGATGCAGCTGCTCAACCATGGAAGATCATTCCATGAAGCTCACTACACACTGTTGTGCTAATCTGAAGGCTACATGAAGTTTGCAGGTCTTTAGCTATTGAGTCTGCAGACAGTTGGCAACTTCTGAGTACTGTGTGCTTTAGCATGCTCTGACCCAGCTCTGTCATTTGGCCTACCACTTTGTTGCTGAGTTGCTGTTTTTCCCAGTTGCTTCCATTTTGTTATAATACCACTAACAGTTGACTGTGGAATATTTAGTAGCAAGGAAATTTGATGGATGGACTTATTGCACAGGTGGCAACCTATCACGGTACCATGCTTGAATTCACTGTCACCTGGTGACAGCTAACATGCCCAGTTATTGTCCATCAGGCACAGTGTCACTGAGCAACTGAGGGCAGGAAACAGTGGAATTTATATCCCTTGCGCATGTACAGGAGACATGAGGATCGTGGAAACTCACTGGGTTTTGACATAGGAATTAAATCAGTCTTCACCCACTGCTGAACAAGGTTGGTAAAGAGGGACTCCTTATATCCTAAAGTTCATGAAAAACAATTTTAATGGCAGGATCACCAGGTGTAAAAACAGATATACATTTCTACATTTTATTTCATTTATTTCTACCCTACTCCTATTAATCTGAGCAATCTTGATGTTTGTAAATTGACTTTGTGAAGATCCCTACATATTTACTTCCTTGAATTCTGTGACACGTATGCACTATGCCCTGTTGATAGACACTGCTGTGTCACACATTTTGCAGAGCCTACCTTTTGAACTAAAGAGGTGCTTAGAGGAGGAGTTTCAGGAGGTGGAGTCAATACAGGAATCACAGCTTGCAGGCAGCAAGGTAACATGGGATATGTAGTCCTTAGAAATTCAAAGTAAACAGCACAGAAGAAGCTGCAAAGCATGCATCCAGGAAGTTGTAGAAAGAGATGGTCAAAAGACAAGCAGAACTCACAACATGAAAGGAGATTTTTCCAGTAAGCTTATAAAGGATTGTCAAATATATCTATTGTTTGAAATGCTATGACAATGCTGATGTTATGAAAGTACAGTTTATGCTGTGATCATCGATTTCCTTTAAATGAAAGATCTCCTATAAATTTTAGATTTAAAACCACTTTTAAAATGGCATTTAATTTTTTTGT